AGATTTTTGGTTGGTGCATTCGTCAGGGTTCTCTAAGGAAACAGAACTGATAGAATACCTGGGCTTTGTGAGGTTGGCTTTCCAGGGTGAGCCCATGCAGTCCAAAGGGGTCTCTGGAAACACCACCACTAGCAGAGTGATGACCCAACAGGGACAAGAAGGCAGTTTGGTGTATCACCACTCAATAGCCAGTGTTGCTTCAAACTTTGAGAGTCTGACCCAGAGTAGTTTATTTTAGGTATATTTAAACACAGCACAATTTTTTGCTTTTTTTAATTTTTATTTTTAAATTTAAATTTAAATTAGAAACAAGGTTGCTTCACACATCAATCCCAGGTCCCTCTCCCTTTCCCTCCCACGCCCTCCCACCAGCCCCCCAGTACCCCCTCATTTCCCCAGGGAGGGTGAGACCCTCCATGGGGGTGTCCATAGTCTGTCATTTCATCCAGGGCAGGGCCTAGACCCTCCCCCAAGAGTCCAGGGTGAGAGTGCATCTCTCATAAACACAGCACAATTTGGTAAAAAGTTTCCTGGTTATAATGAACTCAACCCATGTGTACAACAAAGCTTAAGACATACTTGCATTGAAACTTTTTGTAACATACAAGTAACATCTTCCATAAAATTGAGAAAACAAACTCAAGTTAAGGGTCTGGGGAGGATGTGTTGTGGTGTCGGCTACACAGCCATTGAAAGGGTCACCAGGCTATCAAACACATCCGCTCCTAGCCTTCTGGGCAGAAACCCTTTGAAGGGACAATCCCATGTGTTCTTGGTTCTGCTGGTGCCTATCTGTGAGCCCAAGGACCTGCTCCTGCAGCTCAACAATGACTGGCTCACACTGATAAAGTCAAAAATCCACAGGGCTGGATCTCAGCCGTCCCAGTTTCCAGCCAGTCTTCAGTCTATGTTGGAAGCTCAGAGAAGCTGGTTCTCATCTCGGCAAAAGAATGGCACAGCAACAGGATGGGAAACTTGCCTTTAAGAGTAAAGACAAGCGGGCAAAACCAACGTTTTCTTCTTCCATGTCCTTTTTTCTGGGCTGCCACCAGAAGGTACCACCCACACTGAGGGTGAGTCTTTCTCCTTTGAGTAATCCCTTACAGGAGAGTCCAGAAGTTGGGGTTTTAGTTAGTTCTAGATACCGTCAAGCTGACAGCCAAGATTAGCCATCACACAGGCCGTATGTACAGGAACTCCCCCAGCATCCTTATGGCCCTTTTTCTTAAGTTTATCTGTGCCATCCCTCCTATTTGTAAGCCTGCATTTATTTGGAAAGAAATACAGAGACGTGACATCCTGAGCCACTCAGGATGATTCCAGAGTTGTGATCTCAATTCAACTCTGATCAACTCTATACTCATCTAGTCTCAGCTACAATCATGAGCTCGGTAAACTAGCCCCATTAATCATGCCAGTGTTTGGGGAGGGCATCTGTCTCTTCCAGCCTGCGTGTGACCTAGTGACACAGCCTCATTCTCGTCACATCTCTTCACACCTCCTCTGCACGTCACCTTACTAGCTATCTTGCCAGATACTTGATGCCCGAGGACACAATTCACTTGGTAATTTGCTGTAATGCCATTGCCAGTATTCAATTTTAATTGGGAAACAATCCCCTGTGGATTCCATCATCATTTTTACTTTGTGTCCCGAATTCCACCTGTCTTGTAGGAGCTGAGAACAAGGATGAAAAAGAGAAATGTCTTTATCCTTGAGGATTTGCATTTCTGCAGGTCAGCAGAAGACACGGGCTGGTGATTTCACACCCACCAGGAGTAGCTGTGGTTGGGTAAAGACGTGAAGGTTGAGCACAAACTGGTTAACAGACTGGGTAATAAACTGAGAGGGAGCAAGGCAGAGTGGACCTGAAGAATGAAAGACAAGGCAGGAAGGCTGTTCAGTGTTTAAGAGGGTCTAGGTTCATTTCCCAGCACCCATGTGGTGGTTCATAACTATCTGACGCTCTCTCTTGGGCTCTGCAGGCACTATACATGCACGTGGCACATGTAGGCAAAACAGTCATACACATTAAATAAACAAATTAATTAATTAGAAATGGTGTGAGGTGTTGCCTTAGGGTTTTATTGCTGTGTGTGGCACTTTAAATGAGAATGGGCCTCATAGGTTGAGATACTCAAATACTTGAATAGAGTTGGTGGAACTGTTTGGGAAGGATTAGAAGGTGTGTCCTTGTTGGAGCATAAGTGTCACTGGGGGCAAACTTTGAGGTTTCAAAAGACTCAGGCAGCTCCCTGTGCTTTTATCTGCCTGGTGGTTATGGATCAAGATGTGAGTGCTCAACTGTTCCTTCACTCTGCTATCTTGGACTCAGACTCTCTGAAACCATAAGCCCAAGTAAACATTTGTGTAAGTTGCCTAGGTCGTGGTGCTCTGTCCAGCAATAGAAAAGTAACAAACATGAACAGAATGCCTCAGCTGTAAAAATAGAACCCAGATGAGGTTACAGCTGGCCTTGCTCAAGCATGTATCCCTTGGTTAACCGGTCTCCTATAGCCTGTCTGTATGGATCAGGCAAAACCAGGACAAGGGAAAACTGCAAGATATATACATAGTCCCTCACAGCTGTCCAGTGCCCAATGGCCACACTCCCTATATAAACTCCAAAGGTTCCTTCTCTCTGCCACCTCTTTCCCACAGAAGACTGTCTACCCTTTGCTGTTGTGAAGTAAACAGTTTCTCCTGGTAAGGTCAGTCTGGTCTCTTTCTGTCTCCTGTCTCTTCAAGCTGCCTCAGAAAACTAACACATACACTGTGATGAAACACTATGACCAAAACCAACTTGGGGAGGGAAGGGTTTATTTGCCTCACTCTTCCACACCACAGCCCATCACTGAGGGCAGTGAGGGCAGGACCTCAAACAGGGCAGGAACCTGGACGCAGGAGCAGAGGCATCGAGGAGGGTTGCTTACAGGTTCGCCTCAATGGCTTCGTTGGCTTGCTTTCTTAGAGCATCCAGCTGGGGTAGCAGCACCTACAATGGGCTGGGCACTCCCACATTATTCACTGATTAAGAAAAATGCATTATGAACTTACCCACAGCCCAACCTTTTGGAGGCATTTTATCCTTCCTCCTCCAAAATGAATGGGCCTCACAGAGGGCTGTTATGGTTTAGATACAAAACACCCTTCGCAAAGGCTCATGGGTTGGGGGATTGGTCTACAGGTGTTGGCACCACTTTGGAAAATTCTGAAACTTTCAGAGGTGGAGGAAGCTGGACACAAGACATATTTTCAGAGGGCCTTTTGCTCCTGGCCACTTTCTGGTTTTTTATCTGCACCCTGCCCATCACAAAGTGATGAGCTCATCTCTGTCACCCGCTGAGCAACCACGGGCTGAGCCTGTGAAACCCCTGAGCCCAACCAAATTCTTCCTCAGTTAAGTTGTTTTTTTAGGCACAATGATACTGTTTTAGCTTATGTGTATGAATGTTTTGTCTGGTTGTATGGTGGTGTACCATATGCATGTCTGGTGCCCAAAGAGGCCAGAAGAGGGTATTGGGTGCCTCAAAACTGGGGTGACATGGTTGTGAACCACCAGATGGGTGCTGTTAACCACAGAGCCAATCTCCAGCCTACCACCGAGTCTTAGAAATTGTGGGAAATCATGTAATGATATAAAAACTGATACTCTTTGCTTTTGAGACAGAGTAGACTTCTTGTGGGCTACAGAACATTCTCAGACTCACTCAGCTCTGATCCTCTTGCCTCTACCTTCTGACTGGAAACAGGTGTGTGCTACTGTGTCTGCTGTAAAACCCATTTCAAGATTAAATTAATTAGTATTATGATCGCTGTGTGTGTGTGTGTGTACATGATATGTTTGTGTAGGTGTGTGTGTATGCGTAGGTGTGTGTGTGTGCATGATCTGTTTGTGTAGGTGTGTGTGTGCATGATCTGTTTGTGTAGGTGTGTGTGTGCATGATCTGTTTGTGTAGGTGTGTATGGGTGCATGATCTATTTGTGTAGGTGTGTGTGTGCATGATCTGCTTGTGTAGGTGTGTGTGTGCATGATCTGTTTGTGTAGGTGTGTGTGTGCATGATCTGTTTGTGTAGGTGTGTGTGTGCATGATCTGTTTGTGTAGGTGTGTGTGTGATCTGTTTGTGTAGGTGTGTGTGTGATCTGTTTGTGTAGGTGTGTGTGTGCATGATCTGTTTGTGTAGGTGTGTGTGTGATCTGTTTGTGTAGGTGTGTGTGTGATCTGTTTGTGTAGGTGTGTGTGTGATCTGTTTGTGTAGGTGTGTGTGTATGTGCACGATCTGTTTGTGTAGGTGTGTGTGTTGGGTGTGTGTGATCTGTTTGTGTAGGTGTGTGTGTGTTTGTATTATGACTGTTGGGTACGTGTTTGTGTAGATGTGTAGGTGTGTGTTTGTATTATGACTGTTGGGTACGTGTTTGTGTAGATGTGTAGGTGTGTGTTTGTATTATGACTGTTGGGTGTATGTATATGTTTGTGTAGGCGTGTAGGTGTGTGATCTGTTTGTGTAGGTGTGTGTGTGTTTGTATTATGACTGTTGGGTGTGTGTGTGTTTGTGTAGGGGTGTGTGTGTGAGTGTGTGTGTGAGAGAGAGAGAGATCTGTTTGTGTAGGTGTGTGGAGTTGGCTTTCTCCTTCCACCTTTACCTGTCTCCTGGGCACTGAACCCAGGTCACCCAGTCTTGGCCAGATGACCCTTCCCCCACTGAGTCATCTTGCAGGTTTATAAAACTATTTTTTTAAACCAGAAAGGGCTGCTGTGTGAAGCCTGTACCTTAACATAATTTTTGAAAAGAAAAAGGAATGGATCTGGGACAGAGTATTTCCTTTTCTTATATGCAATGTATTAGGTATGTCTGTCTCCAATTACTCTGAGTCCCTCGGGGATCAGAACTTTCCGTAGCCCTTTGGTCTCTATGACAATGCACCTGGTGGCTTCAGAGGAAACACAGGTGACAGTAGAGCAGGTGCCAGGCAATGCTGGGGGAGAATTGTTGACTGCAGAATCACACAGGCACTTCACGGTCATCTGTGCCTGAGTGCTCTGTTTTGCCCAGCCAGACTGTGCGAGTCAATCCTCTCTAGGAAGTTCTAGAGGCCCTGCATTTCTGGAGGAACCAGAGCTCCCCGTGGCTGTGGCTAGGCAGGGAGTTGGGAACTCCCTCTGGGCCTCCATTTCCGATGATGCTTAAGCTTCCTGAGTTCTAGAAGGGCAAGAAGCCTCCATTCTGGCCAGCTGCAGGCCACATGCAGCCCTTCAGTATCCCGGTCCAAATCACACTGCAGGGTGGCCGGAGGCGGCAGGGCAGGTAAGTCCCCACCTGAATCTCCCATCCGCGCACATCCTGCCAAACAAGCTGTGTGCACTACTAGAAGGCATGCTGAGATTGGGGGTTGGGTTTGGTAGGTACTTTGAGGACACCAGCTTGCAATGCCTCCCAGGTACCTGCAAACCACACTCTCTTATTCCCCAAGCCCTCCCACCACCTATCTCCACCCCACCTCCACCTCTGGTTGTTGTTTTGAGACAGGAGTTCAGGAGCTCAGGCTGGCCTCAACTTCTCTGTACAGTTAGGAATGATCTTCCTGCCTCCACTCTCCAATGCTGGCATTCTAGGTGTGGACCAAGGTACCTGGACATACAGGTGACACAGGTCGTGTGGGCTCTGGACCCCAGCACCCAGGCAGCGCTCAACACATACCTTTTGTGTGAAGAAATGACACTGGCCTCTGGTCCATTGGTGAAGTCTCGATGGTTCAGACCAAGATTCAGTTGCTAGCTCCCACCTAGGAAGCTGTAAGATTCTGAGTCTCTGCCACTCATCTTCTTATCTTGAAATAACGACACTTATCTATGTGTGTCCTAGCACAGGGAGGGGTACATACTCCCTGAAATCTCTAAACTAAATAAGTCTGCATTTTCTGTGTACATTAGCTTTTTATGTTATTATTTTGGGTTTTGTTAGTTTGGGGGGTTGTTTGTTTAGTTTTTGTCTTTTTTTGAGATGGGGTCTCATGTGCCCAGATTGATTGCAAATTTACTGCATAGCTGAGGCTGACCTTGAACTCCTGGTCTTCCTTCCTCCACATCCCAGGTGCAGAGATTGCCGGTGTGGCCCACCCAGCCATGCTGCAGAAAGCAGGAAGTGAAAAGGATTATTTTAGGACCCCAGCTCCCCACGGGTATGCAAAGCAGTAGAGTTTTGAGCTTCAGGGAAGGGGGCGTCTCACACCTGTCCCAGGGTTGGGGTCATAGGGCAGTCGGAAATGGGCAGAGGAGAGGAGAGCAGTGCCCATGGATTTTTAGTAATGAGATATTAAAGATGTGTTGGCATGTTCTTTGGAGGGGTACACCTTGAAACCAAGCTCTCCTACCACAGGAAGCTTGGAAAGTGGGAGCTGGGCACCGGCTCACCTCCAGTTTTAACTACCCTCCTGGGATAGGGCATGAAGGAGAAGAGGGAGAGGGATCAGATGAATTGGGGATGATAATCAGGCTGGTAGGAGGGTCAGAACACAGGGCACAGCACTCTCCTAGTTTTTGTGAGCAACTACAGTGAGTCTCTGCATGGCAGGAGATTGAGCAGTGACCAAGCCATCAGGTGAAAGTTAAGACTCTGCTCATGACACAGAAGACAGTCCATGGTCTGTCCCTGACACAGAAGACAGTCCATGGTCTGTCCCCCATGATGCTCATGACACGGAAAACAGTCAGGTCTGTCCCCTGACACACCCACATCTCACTTTCATTCCTGATATGCAGAGTTTGTTAGAGTTCTTTGGTCCCACCCTGAACTTGCTGATGACTTTTATTCAACCTCATTTGCTGTTTTGAGAAAAAAAAGTTGTTGAGCAGTTTTGTAGTTAAAAACAGACAGCCAGAAAGGTGAGAGCAATGACTGAAGCCTCTTTTTCAACAGAAACAAATTTCAGGAAGGTGCTACTTGACTATGCCCCATGACCAGAGTCACAGATGCATGGGGATCAATCCTCACCAGGTGAATTGTGACATGTGACAGTTATTACACAGTTCAGATACCAAAGGGCAAGGCTGCTGGCATGATCACACCCAGAGCAAATTGGACAGAGCAGGGAGGACAGGGTAGGGAGGATTGAGCAGGGAGGACAGGACAAGGAGGGTAGTGCAACAGAGGATGCTTATTGCTGTCTCCATGACATCAATATTCATGGAAAAAGATAATTAAAATGCCATTGACTCATCTCACTGACTAGAGACCAAATGAGATCATTCTTAATCTCTTTGAGATCCTGGGATGACAAGTTCTTGTAAATACCACCGAGTTCATCACAGACAGGGCTGCGACAGTCTCAGCAACTGAAGACTAGATAATAATATTCAGCTCTGAGGATGAAGGCAAGAACTGTATGCCTACCTGATTGATAGACTCTAAAATCATCAGTAGAGAGCTTACAAAGAATTGCTAATGACATGGAAATTAGTGAGAAATACAATATTTAAAAAATCCCAAACTATCTAAGGTAATCAAAGACAGAAATAATCTAGGAAGGGTATAGTAGCCATCTATAGTAGCCCCGTGTTGAGGCACCAATCTGTAGTAACCTGTCTTTGTGGGGCTTCAGTCGGATCCAGATGACTTGCCTGGTTCATACCTGAGAGGGGGAGTGTGGATTGAGGGTGAAGATGATAAGGAAAAGATAGAGACAGAACAGAATCAGTAGGGCAATCCAGTGAATACTGGATGTCCCGAGTTTATTTTTCAACATTCTTAAATACCCCAACCAAAAGGGGAAAATGGCAAAAGACTTCTTTATCATGATACAAAGAAGAAACATACTTTCTTCTTTAATTCTTCAAACATTTAATAACCAGGACTTAGACTAAAGAAAGGCCTTGAGGGTTAAGAGTAACTACACCTTAGACTAAGTCTCTTGTTATTTAGATAAGACATCCACAACCTCATCTAAGTACTGTCCATCTTGATTTCCTGTTTCCTCCATGTCTGGCTGGCTGGCTTCCCTTTTCTCTCTGCCTGCCAGTCTGGCTTATCCCTCCTCTGCCTATCTATTGGTTGTTCAGCTTTTTATTAGACCAATCAGGTGCCTTAGGCAGGCAAGGTGAAACAGCAACACATCATTACATAGTTATAGAAATGCAGCATAAACAAAAACAACATGTCTTACATAGTTAAACAATTATTCTGCAACACAAACAAATGCAACACATCTTTACATAAACAAATATTCTATTCCACAACATCATGTAGCTGGAGGTACAGGCTTTTGTTGAGTGGCCAGTGTGGGTGCTGGGAGCCAAACTTAGGTCCATGCTGCTAGCCTCTGAGCTATCTTTGCAGCCACTATTCTCTTAGATGTGTGTGTGTGTGTGTGTGTGTGTGTGCATGTGTGTGCACACGCTTGTCTGTATGTGCACCTATCATGCTGGTGTCTGTGAAGTCTGAAAGAGGGTGTTAGACTTCCTGACACTTCTTATAGGCAGTTGTGAGCCACCTGATGTAAATGCTGTCCCCTGCACTCTTAATTGCTGACCCCCTCCCCCCTTTTAAATACAGAGTCTCATGTAGCCCAGGTTGTCTATGAAGCCCACTGTGAAGCCAAGGCTGACCAGGAACTCCTGATCCTTCTGTCCCTGCTTCCTGAGGGCTGGGCTCCCAGATACTCACCATCATGTCTTCTGTAGGGAGAATAATCCAAGATAGCTATACTTTCATGTTTAAATGAGTGAGTTTATTATGTATGCTGCAAGGAAAAGCCAAAGAACAAATAGCAAGAAGCAAATAGATGGAGAAACATCCAATCAGGAGCTCATGATATCTAATCAGGGGTCCATGACATCCGGCAGAGAGGACAGAGGAAGCCCTGTCCAAAGCATGCTGGGAGCTGAGACTGGGGGATTTCCAGTAGGTAGGGCAGTGTTCTCTCTATCCTCTTCCAGCCTCTGGTTCCCATTGCAGGCATTTTTATGTGATGGGACAAACAATAGTAACTTCCTTTGGAAAGGTTTTACCTTTCTGTGGTTCTCGGGAATGCAGTGCATTTTTGTTTTTATTTTCCATTTTCCTATGTATGTGTGGCATATATGTATGTTGCTGGATTTTTCTCTGTCCCAGCTGGTCCCACCACCCCAAATAAACACACAGACACTATATTTTTAAATTGCTGGCTGATGTCTAGGGCTTCTCATTGGGTAGCTTTGTCTTGATTATTAACCCATTTCTATCAATCTGTGGCTTACCTGGTAGTGCCCTGGCATGGTGTTACTCCTTCAGCAGCATGGCAACTCTGTGGTGGGCTCCCTCTGCCTACCTTTCCCAGAATTCTTCTTGTCCCCCCCCCCCTGTCTATCTTCCTGCCTCATTGGCCAAACAGTGTTTTATTCATCAACCAATAAGAGAAACATATATCCAGGAGGATATCCCCCATCACATGTGTGTGGAGGCACTAGAGGGATGCTCTGAATCATTCTAGATGGGCCCTTCCATAATACTCACTGAGGCAGGGTCACCCAGAGCTTACTGATACGGTACTCCTATGGACAACTTGCTGAGATCACCATCCCCCCAGGCTGGAATTATAGATGACTGTCATGATTGCCCAGAACTCACCTGGGATCTGGGAAGGGGAACTGGGTTTTCTAATTCTTTAACCACTACCATTTCCCCTAGCGCCAAGCTGTCCACTGTTTTTTGTTTTTTTGTTCTGTTTTGTTATGTTTTCCGGTTTTTTTTTTGCGCTCTTAGTTATCTGCCATTCTCCTTTCTCTCTGATACAGACTTAGGGACCAGCCTGACCCAGGACAAGAAGACTTGCGGTGTACTTGACAAAAAAACACTGTAGTCTTGGGGAAGGGCCATCCTTGTTCTCAGAGTCCACTTTCAACAAGCTTAAACAGCACATGATGCTTTGCCAATACAATGTAAATTACTCCACACCCAGTTTTTTATATCTTAAAAACATTTGACAACGTATCATATTGGCTTCTTTTGATGGCACCAGTCTCAGCACTGAGAGCAGAGTCCGGGGTGTTGCAGGAAGCTGCTTATGACTCTGAGTGAGCCAGACTCAGGTTTGCCAAATGGCACATGACTGAGCTCTCTGAAGCTCACACAGCATTCTTTCTGGTCTGCCCCTTCCCCCCAAAGGACAGCACTTCCAAACTCAGGCAAAAGCAATGGAGACCTACCAAAGGTGCACCCAAAGCTTTCATCAAGTGCTGGAGAGGACCGTGCCACACTGCTGGGTGTTGCCATGATGGCCTTCTCTGTGTTGATGCTCTTCCTGTTGGGGACCACTGTGTTGAAGCCCTTCATGCTCAGGTGAGACACAGGTCAAGACCCAGAACTCCCCTATGGGCCCATCCCAGCACTGGAGGCCATGCTCCTGGCACATCCTGAGCCTGCCTATCCATGCTGTGGGGGGTGGAGAGGGAGCTGTGGAGCATTCCTTAGCTACCCCACTCTCACGGGGTTTCTGCACAGTCTCATTGCCTGGTGAGATGGGCGTGGCTTGTAGCGCAAAAGCACCCTGCTAGTAGATGCCAGCCCAGCTTCCTGTCTGCTGTCCCCATCAGGGGAAACCTCTCCCTGCTCCTGCTCAGCCAGGTCACTTACTGGAATCTTAACGTCTGCTTGCTCCCTAACTGCAGTGGCTACTAGGATGCTCCGAGCCTAGGCCATTTTTGTAACCGGAAGGGATTGTGTGACCTTTGAATTAGACACTTGTAGCTCTTCCTCGGGATTCCTTCCCAGCCTTCTCTCCTTTTCCTGTTGTTGTTTTCTCTCACCTTTAAAATAGGCACATGTCTATGTGAGTTAAATAAATGGGTGTTCACACACACACACATCTGTACATATGGGCAGATTCAGAGAGAGGGAGGGAGGAAGATGTGGGGAGGGGAGGAAAGGGAAGAGGAGGAGAGAGCGAGAGCGTAAGAGCGTACCAGTTAGCCATGTTAAGAAACAACTTTAGGGAGTCATTTCTCTCCTTCAACCTTGTGGGTTGAAGGGATAGAACTCAGGTTTCAGGCTTGGTGGAGGATGCCTTTCCTCTGAGCCATTTTGACAGCATCAGAAGTGTTTCTAGACTTTTGTTTTGAATGGTGTGTGTGTGTGTGTGTGTGTGTGTGTGTGTGTGTGTGTGTGTGTGTGTGTGTGTCCGCCCTTGGAGGCCAGAGGTGTCAGATCCCTGTATCTGGAATTACAGAGGATTTGAGCTGACTGAAGAGTGCTGGGAATCAAACATGGGTCTTCTGCAAGAGAGGTATGTGATCTTAACTGCTGAACCATCTGTGCAGCCCAGACTGCTTGTTTAAACATGCCATGTATCAGGGAGATGGCTGCAGGGTATCTGCAGCTCATATTTGTTTTACTTTCCAGGTATTTCTGGAAATTGCTTAATGGGAGCTCCAAGGACATTGCCTGAGCAGCCAGGCTCATTTCTGCCTCACCTTAAACTCTTCTTCATCTAAGGGAGCAGTCCCTAAAAGACAGCAGTTAAGATTTCTAGGATGACTCACACCTTTCTCTCCACCCCTCATCTTTCAGTCAAAGGGATAGAGAATTGCAGATCAAGCCAGAAAAATCCCAGCACAAATGGGAGACACTTGAGAAGTTCTGCCCGTAGCAGAGGAACAATTGCAACTGATGGCTGATGCAGGAGGGAGTCGGTTTCTTCAGGGACTCCATCCCTGAGAGGTTACCATACTCCACTACATGGTCCTACACTCTGTGGGTTAAAACAACAAACACCTGAAGCTGGGAGGAAAAAGTGGTAGGGGGTAATGGGGAAAGCAAAGGGTGTTGGCTTTGATCAGGCACATTGTGTGCATGGATGAAATTCTCAAACAATAAAAGGAGGGACTCATGCAAAGAGACAGAGTTACCGAAGTAACACCATCGTTTTTAAGTTCTAAATGAGCTTTGCTGTACCCCAGGGTTCAGGCTTGGCCCTGGTGCATGAGGCAGTGTCACTCTCTCGTGCAGCTCTCTGAGGTCCCTGAGAGACAGCCAGATCACAACAGCATGTGGGAATCAGAGTACTTACATTCCAATAGATACACAGACAGCTCTTAAGCAGTACTTCCTCATGATGTTGAGGTTCAACAGATAGGCGGAAAAGCAGGTCAGAACTAAAGCTCAGAAAGAACTTGTGTTTCCAAATTTAAAATGTGCTTATTAGTGTGTGTGCTAGCGACACTCATGTCTGACTGTGTGTACATGTGCTCCACACTCTTGTCTGATTGTGTGTGTGTGTGTGTGTGCACACGTGAGTGCACCCCACTCCTATCTGAGGGCCTCTGTTAAGAGTTAGGTCCACCATGTGGCATCTGCACTGAGGTGGTCAAGCTTCATGTGGCAAATGCTTTTACTATCTCACTGGCGCAAGTTCTTTTTCGTTTCTGTAATTTTTCTATTGCCTAACATTTTTCTTAGGCTACTTCTAGTGACCGTGCTTTTCTTCAGGTTAGCAGTCACTTGGGCATTTCCAGAGCATCTGTAGAGTTTCCTATTGCTGCTGTAATGGCAGACTTGGTGACTTAACAGCTGGCAATTCATACCTCTTGAGTTCAGAAATCTGACCTAGGTCTCCTATCGGTGTCAGCTGGACTGAATTATCTTCTAAGCGCTATAGAGGTGCCTGGTCCATCCTAGGCTTGTGTGATCTCAGATCCTGCACCTCCTAGCCTATCCCATCACCCACCCCAGCATTTTGCTGTGGCCTCTGCTCCCAGAGACACCCATCTCCATGCTGACACACACCCATCTCCATACCTTACATTTGTTCTAGAGGCAAATGCTTGTCTATGGCTGATATTGAGTGTGGTAGAAAGCACTGACTGTATTCAGTGCTTTTTAAAAAGCTGCTTTAAAAAGTGGGAGTAAAGGGAGCTGCCCACTTTGCCTTGTGTAGGAGGGCCCCATGGGAGCAGAGTCCACAGGTGGTTTGTTAGTGGCTTTTCTCATGTTGTGACCAAACACCTGAAGAGAAGCAACTCAAGGAAGTGTCTTTTTGGCTCCCACTTTGAGTGTACAAGCCAACATGGTGGGATGGCATAGACAATAGGAGGGGTGCTTCTGTCTGTCTTTTATTCATCCCAGGATCCAGGGATGGTATCACTCAGCTAGGGTGGGTCTTCCCTCTCAACTAATCCAATCTAGAAACTTCCTCACAGACAGGCATATGGAGCCTTGTCTCCTAGGTGTCTGTATGTTCTAGTTTTCTTTCTGTTGCTATAATAAACATCAACACCAAAAGCAACTAAGGTTGGAAAGTTTATTTGGATTATGCTTCCAGATCAGAGTCTATTATTGGGGAAGTCAGGACAGGAACTGAAGACAGGAACATGGGGGCAGGAGCCATGAAGGGGATGATGCTTTCTGGCTTGCTGTCTGGCTCACTTACTTGTTCATGGTCAACTAGCTGGACTCCTATACAGTCCAGACCAACTTACTTAGGGATGGTGCTACCCACAGTGGGCTGAGTCCTCCAGCATCAATCATCAGTTAAGACAACTTCTCATACCTAATGTTGCCATGGCCCACTGCTATGATGGACTCTATCTTCCTTGAGTTGCCTTTGGTCATAGAGTCTTATCACAGCAACAAAGGAGTAACTAGTACAGTACCCAAGATATTATCTGTACACGACACGGCAAGCTGTTAGATGTGTTTTCCAAGAAAACGTAGCTAAGTCCAATGTGATGGAGCTTGTAGCACGTGCCATCATGCCACAGGATGCAGTTTGGCACCCTAAGGAATCCAATGGTACAAAACCAGCCTTGTTTCCCAGTGGCAATCTCAACACACTTGCTCCCAACTCTGGAGGCAGGGTGGAGATGCAGGACCAGCCTCACGGCCGGAACCCTTCCAAAGGCCCACTTTCACCAGGAAGCTGGTATATATATCTAAAAAAGATGCCAGGAGGGATGCTTGGTTATCCAAGTGATATTCTTGGTGGCTCTGTGTTTAGGGTAATAGTACTTAGTTCAGTTTTCCTAATACTTGTATTTTGGGGGAGGGGGAGAGAAGGCAGGGTTCTCTGTGTAACAGTCCTGGCACTCAGAAACCAGGAGTACCTGGAACTCACAGAGATCTGCTTGCCTCTGCCTCCCAGATGCTGGCTAATACTTGCATCTTAACTACTGTTAGTATAGAGATACTCAGGCTTCAGCTCAGACCTCTTGAGAGAGAATCTCTGGGAGGGGCCCCCCGGAACCCACACTGGGCAGTCGCGACGCTAACAAGTGAACTAATCAGGCGAATCTACAGTTTGACAGTGTTGTTTCAGGGCTGGTGAACGAGGCACACCCCAAGGGCCAGAGGCATTTGCCCACCTGGCTCTTTTCCCATCTGTGTCTTGCATTCTCCCTGATCAAGACGTGATGTCTGTTCTGACGTATGTGGTGGGCCATGACCTCAGCTGTGTCTTAGAAGGCAGCCCTTGACTTTCCAATAGCTGCTTCCAAATCCTCACCTCCCTACTTAGGAAGAACGCTCTTTTTAATTTCACAGCTCTCACAGAGAGGAGTCCAACTGCACCACCGTCCACACACACATTGCAGATGGTTGGCTGGACTTTGCCTTCACCTGTGAGGGCAGCTGCCAGGATCACGGCAGGTATCCCTGTCTGCAGGTGTTTGTAAACCTCACCCACTCAGGCCAGAAAGTACTTCTCCACTACGATGATGAGGCAGCCAGAGCCAACCCCAAGGTAACGTGGATTTGATGCCCTTCCATAGTGCTGTCCCAAGTGGGGCACAAGCCATCTGTGGAAAGTCTAGTGAACATTTCTTTTTTGGAGTGTGTATGTGTGTGCATGTGTGTGATGTAGCCCAGGATGTAACCAAATTTGCTATGTAGCCAAGGATGACTTTCAACTTCTGAATCATCTAGCTCTTCCTCCCAAGTACTGGGATTACCACCCCTTGTTGTAAGTGGCTGAGGACTGAACCAGGGATTTTGTGTATGCGAGGCAAGGCCTCTACCAGCTGAGCGAAGTCCCAATCCCTTCTGAATATGTTCATAGTACTCCACCAGGATGAATGATGCTGGTAGCAGTCTTGGGGGACCGATGGACATGCAGTAAGGAGAGGCACATTCCAGTTTCCTGGCTCAGTGAGAACCCTAAGTGGGCAGTGCTTCCTGGTTGTAGTCCCGGTTAGAATGAATGAATTCAGCCTTCCTTTAGCCAACCAGGTAATTCTTTTCTTGGGGTAGGGGGTTCAGACAGTGTTTCTCTGTGTAGCACTGGCTGTCCTGAAACTCACTCTGTAGAGCAAGCTGGCCTTGAACTCACAGAGATCCTCCTGCCTTTACCTACTGAGTTCTAGGATTAAAGGCATATGCCACCACCGCATGGGGACATTTAAAGAACTTATAATTGAAATAAGTTACATCACTGGCTCACATGATTTACAGTTCATAGTTACACTTAACTATAAAGGTTTTACTAGATGATATGCTATAACTTAGTGGTTTGGTGATTAAACACTTAATCTAATGATTTCTGGTTTTCTATTTTCAATATAGTCATTTCTAAAGTCACACATTAAAGTGTGTGTGGGATGTGTGGTGTGTGTGTGGTGTTGTGTGATGTGTGGTGTGGTGGTGTGTGTGATATATATTTGTGTGGTGTGTGTGATATGTGTGTGTGTGGTGTTGTGTGTGTGATGTGTGCTGTGTGATATGTATGTGTGTGGTGTGTGTATGTGTGTGCATGATATATATTTGTGTGGTGTTGTGTGTGTGATGTGTGCTGTGTGATATGTATGTGTGTGGTGTGTGTATGTGTGTGCATGATATATATTTGTGTGGTGTTGTGTGTGTGATGTGTGCTGTGTGATATGTATGTGTGTGGTGTGTGTATGTGTGTGCATGATATATATTTGTGTGGTGTTGTGTGTGTGATGTGTGCTGTGTGATATGTATGTGTGTGGTGTGTGTGTGTGCATGATATATATTTGTGTGGTGTGTGTGTTTGTGTGATATGTATGTGTGGTGTGTAGGGTGTGTGTGTGGTGTGTATGTGTGTGTGGTATGTGTGTGTGGTATGTGATATGTATGTGGTATGTGTGTGGTGTGTGTGTATGTGTGGTATGTGTGTGTAGTGTGTGTGATACGTATGTGGTATGTGTGTGATATGTATATGGTGTGTATGGTGTGTGCACGCGCAGGTCAGAGGGTAACTCACAGGCATCAGTTCTCTCTTTCTACCATGGGATCCTGAGCTGAGGTACTCAGCTCGGCAGCTTTGCTGAACCATCTCCTTGCCCCGTGCCTCACATTTCTGTAGTCCCTTCAGCATGGTAGCCCAATAGCTAATAGACTTGTCATCTCACTCTGCCCTGCAGCCAACCATCCCCTTCCCCACACAGTATGCACGATGGCATGCACTATACCATGACCCCCACTGTAACATCAGCCTGGTGCCCTCAGTGTTGGCCATTGTTGACGCTGCTTTTCCGTTTCTCCAATCTCCCAGTGCTTTTACACACCCAAGTGTCACCGAGACAGGGATGATCTGCTCCATAGTGCCCGAGACATCAAGGAATTCTTCGATCACAGAAATGGAACTTTCACTTGCTTCTACAGTCCCGACGGGCAGCTGGGAGTTGTCCTGAGGAAGTCTGGCCACAAGGTTGTCTTTCATTGCTTATTTTGGCCTTTGCTGACTTTGCTGGGTGGGGCCCTGATTGTTGGCTTGGTGAGGTTGACTCAGCATCTGTCTCTTCGGTGTGAACAGTACGGCATGGTGGTGAGAGTCCAGGCAGGTGGCAGAGCACAGTCTGTGGGCAGCCACCGGTCTTCGCGGTACAGTGCGGCAGAGGCAGGGAAGGGACAGTGCTGAAGAGGCAGCCCCAGCTCTCTCACCCCGAGGCGCCCCACCTGAAGCCTTGAGCACTGCCAGGCACAGTGGAGCAAACTTGTGATCCTAGCACTCGGGAGGCTGAGGCAGGAGGATCAAGTTCAAAGCCAGCTTGGGTTACACACAACAAATCTTGTCTAAGAAAAACATGGGTTGTAGCTTCCAGACAGAGTACTCGCCTAGTATGCACCAGCCCTGGATTTGGTCCCCAGCAGTAAACACAGTCTCATCTGCTTACAAAGCTGTTGTGTAAAGGAAAAGGTTGCACCGCAGCTTTCCACATGGGAACCAGTCTTTACACGTTGACTGTTTTCTACTTATTCTAAAACATGTACAGTTTCAACCATTTTTCTTCTTCCAGTCTCCTTCACACACGTCAAGGAAGCATGCTTCCCCTCATAGGCAACTCCAGTTCTCCGTGGACCGTGTTGGCATGTAACAAGTCATTACTGAGTCTATCTGTTGAGCTCTGAGCTGTCGGTATGTGCAGGTCACATGGAAACGTTTCTCATAGGAAAAGCTACTGAGAGCTGGGAGATGGCTCAGTTGGTAAAATGAGAACCTGAGTTTGATTTCTCAGACACCTAAAAACAAAAGCAAGCAGGCAAACAAAACAACAAAGAGAAAGCAGGCCTGCTGGCCTGCGGAGACAGCCGACAGCCAGAATAGCAAATCTGTGAGTCCCAGGTCAATGAGAGACCGTGTCTCAAACATCTGGGTGACAGCGAGCGACTGAGGCCCGCCACCTGAAGTTGCTCTTCTCCACACACCGACACATGCATGCAGGCATATAGACCACACACTTACACATACTCATAGTTAGCAGTTCATTTGCTACACGTAGCTAAAAACTGTCCAAACTGCAAGGAAACCCAGGTCTGCCACCTCTGTGGCTCATTCTTCCTTTACCCTTCTCCAAGAAAGCTGCTGCCTAGAAAACCCAGGGTACACGTGTGCGTATTGGACCTTGCCGTGCTCCGGGTCTTCCTACTTAGTCTCTGCACGCTGTGGAAGCAGGAGAAATGACAAGTGTGAAGTAAGCTGTACCTGAGTCCAACATTCACCTCAAATAATGCATGCTGTAGAATGGTCCCACTTGGATAGTCAGTGTTCTGTAACAGAATCATCCAGGGGGGCTGGAAAAGGCTCACTGGTTAAGAATGCTTGCTTCAGCTGGCCGGTGGTGGCGCACGCCTTTGATCCCAGCACTCGGGAGGTCAGCGTGGCATAGAACAGTCATAGTTACACAGAGAATCCCTGACTAGGAAAACAAAATAAACAAGAATAGTTGCTTCCCAGCACCCACATGGTAGCTCACAACCATCTGTAACTTCAGTCCTAGGACATCCAACATCTTGCGGCCTTTTGCAGCCACTACTGACTCGCACACATAAAAGTACAAAAAGAAGTCAACTGAGGTAACTCTGTGTCACAAGACTTCCAGCAAGGCCTTCCAGCTTAAGATGAACATGTGAGCTAAGAGCTCACTGTTTCTCCGAAGTACCTCAATGTATCTTTACAATTCCACATACAAAAATGAAAACCCTTCATTTTAGACAACAGAAGACTTTTGAAACAACTTTTGACACGCTGCTGGAATCAGCGTCACACCTGATTCTAAGCCAATTTAAAGTTGCTAGTAATTAAATTCAAGTCACAAATTAGCAGCGTGGCTAAGTCTGGAGAGTGACAGTGACAGGCAATGAAGCCAGCCTCTCACCTTCTCTCTGCTCTGGGCTGAGGGGAACATGCTTCAGGCAGGCTTGCTTCCGGGTGGAGGCAATTGGGAAATGCCTCTTTTGATGGTCTTCAGACACAAAGATGTGGAGTGGGTCAAGACAGCAAGCTTAGTTTCTGAAGCTATGACATCCTCGTGCTGAGCTGCAGCAGCCTACGCTGTCATGTTTGATAGCGGTGGGGGTTGGAGGGGCAGGAAAGCTCCCACAGGTGTCTCTTCGCTACCCCACCTTGGCTAACTGATCTGCCGTGTAAAGGTTGTCAATGTTATCTTGTATACCAAGCCTCCATATAATAAAATACACTATGCATGTCCAAGAAAAACTGTAAATGGAGATTCTGTCATTTTTCAAATTAAAGATAAACCTCATATCCACTTCCTAGTAAACTTGACTTCCAACTTGGCAATATACAGCCTTCCTGCTTTCCCCTACCATGCTCAATCCTGAAGCTCAATCCTGAGTCACGGAGGTTTCCCAAGCAGATAGTGACTAGTGGTTCATCCCAGGGAAGACAGACATTAAGCTGGAGAACAGAGTCAGTTACAAATTCAAGTCACCTGGCACTAGTAAAATTTAAGTGGTGACAGGTTTATTGTGAAAGCAGAAAGCATCAATGCTCATTTCTTGGTACCAGTCCAAGGCAGGCCGCCTTCTGTACCGTTCATAACGGAGGGCAAAGCAGGCTGCTTCGAAACTGACTTCATGTATAGACTCTAGTTTCCAACACATGTGAGAAAATAGCCCATTTCCTACCCATATACTCACACCTACTCCTATGTACATAAATATCGGCTTAAAATACAAGCATCTACATCGGTTTTTTAGTACTCATGCCTCTAACTTTTCTTTTTACTACTGGGAATTGAACCTAAAGTCTTATGCACTATGGTAGACATGTTCTACCAGTGATACCGTGAATGCTAGCATGCTACCCAAGGGGTGGGTGAGTGTGTGTGTCTATTTCTTTAAGCCTAAGAGAAATTAGCATTCCTTTCTCTAGTACTTACTGCCAGGGAAGGAAAAAAGAAACACAACAACAACAACAAACCCAAAACAAAACTGGTTGAGTTTTCCTTTTTATTTTCCTTGACAGGGTTTCTCTGGCTGTCCTGGAACCTGTTTTGTAGATCAGGCTGACCTCAAACTCACAGACATCCACCTGCCTCCACCTCCCGCGTACTGGGGGTGCCACCATGCCTGGCTTGATTCAGTTTTTCAATCGAGTGTTCTTAGTAATTAAATAGCAAACTTGAGTCTAACTGGACTCTGTTCAAAGCAACACTAGTTTGCCTGTGAAGAGAAACAGCAAAAGGGATTCTCAAAGCTCTTGGCTTACACCACATGCTAAGGACCATCTAGACACAAGGTAAGTTTCCTTTCTCTTTTAATGAACAGCGTGATGGTACAGACTGTGCATTAGGGATAAGAAGACACTGACATCAGTGATTAGCACAGTATGTGCAGTCACAGGCTGAACTCCTTGCTGGGGACAGTATGACAGAAGAGATCTTCAATTTAGTGAAGCTGTAGTTGTCTACATTCTAAGCTAGTGGTTCCCAACCTTCCCAGTACTGAGACCACTTAATATATACGGTTCCTCGTGTTGTGGGGACCCCCAGCCATAAAACTGATAGTACTTCATAAATGTAATTTTTCTGTTATGAATCATAATGTAAATATCTGTTTTCTGATGGTGTTAGGTGCCCCTTGTGAAAGGGCATTTGATCCTAAGGGGTCGAGGCCCACAGGTTGAGAAGAGCTGCTCTAAGCTAACAGCATATGGGACCTTGCTGTACTTAAGTACATCTAGGGCAAGGCTTAAAGAATACTGTTCCTTTTTCTTTCTTTTTGTGTAGTCCTGGCTATTCTAGAACTCACTTTGTAGACCAGGCTGGCCTCAAACTCAGAGATCTTCCTACCTCTACCTTCTAAGTGCTGAGATTAAAGGTGTGTGCCAACACTGCCAATCAAGAATGTTTCTAACTAGTTCCTCTTACACAGAACCTCAACTCATTGAATAAACAAAGTGGAGAGAAACAATGTGGCTGAGGGGGGCAAGCTCCTTGCACCAGTGGAGTGGAGTTATGTCCCCCCAAGATACTAAAGTATTATATTTGAAAGCAATGTATTCTTTTGGATTTCATTTAGCCAAGCTAAGTCTAAAGACTGAATGATAATAAAATCATCAACTGCATTTGAAACCTGGACTCTTGGAGCCTGTGGAGGTGGGCACATGGCACCTGTATTCTCAGTACTATGCAGCTAAGACTAGAGGATCATGAGTGTGAGGCCAGCCTGGGCTATACAGTGAGACCCTGTGCTAACATAAAATGACAAAAATCACCACAACATATTGTTTGGGTTCCACAATCAAAACCATATCTAGATACTAGATAAAAGCCACATTTTCCCTGTCATTCTTAGGGCCATACTTTAATCTGACAAAGGATTTTTCTTTTCTTATGGACCATCAGAAATAACTACATTTGGAAATTCATACTAGCAGTTTTGAAGACCAAGTATCCTAGGATGGCTCTGAACTTACTAATGAGGCTAAAGATGACCCTGCCCTTCTGATCCTCCTCCTCTACATCCCTAGTGCTGCGATTATAGGCATGTGTTGCTAAACCTTCTATGTGGTGCTGAGGCTCAAACCCATACTTCACATACACTTGCCAGGCCCTCTAACTGAGCCACATTCCCATACTTTAGTAGGAAACACTGACCGTTTTCTGTGTCCTTGATAATCTAGAAGACCAACAAAGAGTATAACGAAAAATACATTATTCTGTCACAAATTACTGTGGTACGTTAGACAAGGCTACAGAAAGTCCACTTGGCTTATGCTTTTTTTGTTTTTGTTTTCTCTTTTTGTACTTACTAACGTGAAGATTGGAGTCTACTCTTAGTAGTGAAAATCAGACCCAACAATACACTACAGGAGCTTCACTGTAATCCTGTCCACTAACAAACATTCTTATGACACTGAGAGGTGAGAGAATCCCCTTCTATTTCTGTTTCCTTTGCTATAACAAGCACACAGCTTAGACCCTGCCATACCTGAAAGCCAAGCAAAGGGAAAGGCACTGCATAATAATGGAGGGGCATACCCCCCATCAAATGAAGATTCCACACAAACTCATTCAAGACTGCCATTACTATCTGGGTGACTCCTAAGAAACACAAACCCCTCCTGAACTTTAGACCCTTTCCATGTGTTTATAGCTTTCATTAAAGATCCCTGACCCATCTGTGCTAACAAAACAACAGAAGGGAGTAAACGAGGTAAGGATGCTCAAGATTCGGCACCACGGCTGCTCTATGTAACTTGCCCAAGCAGCCGGAGTCTTAACATTTTAGCACCCTGCCCCTCCATGAACTAAAAGGCACACCCAGCCTGACTTGCAAACATAAAAATGCAGGGTTCTACAGAGTCTGTTGTGAGACCCGAGGCACAGAATGGCAACTTAGCTATTTCCCTTATGAACCCTTAGAGATGGAGTTAACAGGTTTAACCGGAGTACAATTCTTCTAAGCTAGAGCCCAACATCTTTCCAGATAGTAAAAATGATTTTTTATAAGGAAAAAAAAGATTGGTTTACAGTTTTAATCACTAAAATGCTTTTGTTAGTCTGTTTAAAGTAGCTCAGCTGTATTATTGCTCTGCCATCAAGAGTTACACTAATTAAAGATGCTGTCAAAACTGAGTTTAGCCTTCAAAATTCCAAACTGGAAGTGATTCCTTTCTATTACGTGTGATGCACCCTTGTAGCTTGAAGCCTTCTGTTCAGGCTCTCCTCCATTCCACCCCCACACATCTGAAGTAGAAGCAACATCATCTATAGTGTCACAAATTTGAATTTGCTGTTTTAGTGATGTCATGGACATCAAAATAACTTTTAAGGTGGATTTTTGAGTTCGTGGGTTTGTCCAGCCCAAGTTGCAGTTTGCAGAGAACAGTGGACACTGTAATAGAACAGATACTAGGTGTAACATACTAGGTGTAACAGATTTGGAAATTAAATTTCTTCAAAGGAGCTGGTACGCATGGACCAAAACTACAAATCAAACAAATATAAAAAAATGATGTTAAGGACCAAACTGAGGTTCATGTGCTGTAAGGTTTCCACTGTACCCTTAGGACAGGCTGCTCATCATTTCTGGGATGCCATCAGGCTCCTGATAGGCAGAGACACACATGGGCTGTGTTTTGCCTAGACGATTACTAATCAGTTTAAACTGAAGTTCAAGGGGTATATACATCTAAATGAGTAATCATTCCCTGATTAATAAGAACTACACTTTACACAAAATACTTTATCAGCAGCTGTTTTCATCAAAAAAAAAAACCAATAGTCAGTTTCACAGTTGAAAAAGTTACACATTAAAATATTTTACAATTCATTATATATTCACCAGGTTCCCATTTCCTGATGGGCAGTAATATAAAGCAGAATAGAAGGGACAACCTCAAATCTGATGACTCTGACACCAAGTTTTACAGAGGACATGAAGAACCACAAAGTCTCTGGTTCTACCATGAAATAGCAACCAAATTCCATTCTTTTTTTAAAAAACTCTAATTAGAAACATCTTTAAAAACAAACAGGAAGCAAACAAACAAACAAATCAAACTCCACAGTAAGATGAACAGATTTCAAATTAACAGCAGTCTAAAAATCTTAAAACTAAAGGTTTTTGTATAGCTGAGGAGATGGTAAAAAGTGAAAGCATGATTTAGGAGTTACTTCTTGCTACAGTGCATTTAGTTTCTTTCTTTAGATTTGCTTTCCTTCCTTCCAGAAATAATTACTGATGAAACATTCTCAAGTGACTTAGTGAAATTATGGAGCCAAAGTCGTTTAGACAATATTCAATGACGACAAGGATGGTCATTTACAGAGGTGACCTGTCCACAGGTCCTTCTGATATTGAAGTACCTGGGAGTGGCACATTATTGCTCTCTGGAAACAGATTTTGATCACCCCAGCTTCAATTCAAGTTTTGGTCTTTGTCTTTTTTAATTCAACCCATTCTTCTCTCTTTCTTTTGTTCTTTCCTTTCTTCCTCTTTTCTTTCCTTATACCATTTATAGAATAGAATTTTTTCTCAAATACAATTACTGTGGCTGTAAATGGCAAAATAAGCTATGTGGTTGTATTTGAACTGTGCAGAGACCCTGGAAGGTGGTACTGGGTAACTATTTGAACTAATGAAAAAAAAAGGCAAAAAAAATGTTATCAATTTTGTGCAAGGAGGCTCGTGGCTTGTTTTTTTGTTTTTTGGCACTCGGGAAAACACAGTTCTTTGTACTTC